CCCCACTGCGGTCAAATCTTTTTTGCATTTTTTCTATGGTGTTTGCATAGTGGCTAAGGCTACTAGAAGTTCTTCTCAGCACTCTAAGTAGCTGGAATTGCTCAGAATAAACCCAAAAAATGCCTGGGAACCCCCGAATTGCTCAGAATAAAAACTCACCGTTTCGAAGTTCTCGAAGATTCAAGAATAACTCCAAATCGATCGATATTATATCCTTCCCCTCTCTCTACGTGTACTCCACGTGGACAAAACTAGAGCGATTTCACGTCAAAAAGTTTATTAAAAACCAGAGACAGAACAAGTGAAAATAGTTAGGATAAAAAATCGATAGATTAGAAATCGAAGAACTTAAAAAATCCGAAATCAATGTCGAATTGATGCATCCAGAAGGCGATGACGATTGGCACGAAGAGCACAAGAATGAGCAATTGTGGGGTGGTTAGGTATGGCATTTTGGACAGTTCGAGAGCTCTCTGAAATTAGAAAAATTAGGGAAAATAATCTGTGTGCCCAGATGTCTGGATGTCCTGAATTTCTGTTTGTCTGTGTGTCCGGATGTCAGGATATTTTGTCTGTCTGTGTGTCCAAAATTCTGGATATCTAAAAGTCAGTCTTTTTTGTCCCGAAGTCTGTGTGTCCGTGAGTCCGGATGTTCAGATGCTCAGCTTAGGTGTCTGTCCGGATACCCAGATGTCTGTGTGTCCAGGCATCCAGAAGTCCGGATGTCCAGCTATCCAGGATAGCTGTTTGTCCACATGTCGGTGTGTCTGTATGTCTGGATGTCTAGATGTCTGTTGTCTGTCTGTCCGGATTTATGTCCAATTTTCTGTCTGTGATCCAAGGTATCCAGATGTCCGGATGTCTGTCTGTCACTCTGCCTTCCTGGATGTCCAAATATCTGTCTGTCTGCCTGTCTAGATATTCAGATGTCTGTCTGTCCTCCCGTAAGTCCGGATGTCCGTCTATCTGTCCAACTGTCTAGATGTCCAAATGTCTTTATGTCTGTCCAACTGTCTAGATGTCCAAATGTCTGTATGTCTGTCCATCTGTTTGCTTGTCTGTCTGTCTGTCACTATGTCTAGATATCCGGATGTCTGTCTGTTCGTCCCGTATGTCCAGATGTCCCCACGCCCACCTTCTCTGCCTCCACTTTCGCCTTCTCCTCAAAAATCATCTTGACATCATCCAAATTGAATCCCTCCTGAGAGATTTTGGAAGTCTCTTCAGATTCTTCATCAGAATCGTCTTCGAATCCATCAGAATCTTCAGAATCCTCCGAATCCTCCGAATCCTCCGACAACTCCTCCACTTTCACCACTTTACTCTCGGTTTTCTGCAAAAATAATAAACCTCAACTTTAAAGGCGCATAACTCAAAAAGGGGCGGAACTATGAAAAAGTTATCAACTACAAACCTGTTTAGAATTGAATTTTGAGCAAGTTTGCAATTGAAAACTTTTTCCTAGCTCCGCCCCTTTTTGAGTTATGCGCCTTTGAAGTTGGAGCGCCCTCCTTTCTCTGCGTCTCTCCCCTCCCCTCCCTCTCCACCTGCTGCAAGAGGAGGGGAGGCGCACCCCAACTTTAAAGGCGCATAACTCAGAAAGGGGTGGAGCTAGAAAAAAGTTGTCAACTGCAAACTTGTGCCAAATTCAATTTTGAGCAAGTTTGTAGTTGGAAATTTTTCGATATCTTCACTCCCTGCCCTTCTATTAAAGGATTTTCAGAAGCTTGTGTTTTAGGCTGTTTCTCACCGAAGATTCATACTCGGCAGCTGTTTTCTTCACCAATCTATCGATTTCTTCGTCATCATGGATAAATTTTGGAACTTTCTCCATTTTAACCTCGAATTTTCCAGTTTCTTCGTTAAATGTATGCGTGAGAACTCGTCCGGAGCTGGCTGGTGGCATTTTGATTGTTTTTCCGGATTTCAGCTGGTTGATGAGGTCGTCGTAGTGTGATTCGGAGGCACTAGACTCGTAATCTTCAGAATCCTCTTCCTCATCAGAACTATCCGTATCGGACATCTGAAAAAAAAATTGGGAATTTTTTTTTGAAAATTTTTTTGAAAAAAAAAATTTGAAAAAATCTACCGTAACCCGAGAAATTTTAGGCCAAATGTTATGAAAATAGAATATTCGGAATCAGCATGTCAAGGCGGTTCGAATGAGTATAATCATGACTAGGTTTGGAGAATTTTCAAAAAATTTTATTCTGAGCAATTCCACAAAATCTACAGAGGTCTTTTTCGTGGCGGGACGGTACCTATTCATGATTATACTCAATCAAACCGCCTTCACCTACTGATCACAAATATTTGATTTAGAATTGCTAAAAATCGAATATTCTGAGGTTTGGGTAGCCCATGCGCCTTTAAACTAGATCAAAAACTACCGTATCTCTATAAATTTTCGTCTAGAACCCATGAAAATTGTAGATTTGAGATCAGCACGTCAAGACGGTTCAAAAAAGTATAATCAAGGTGTTTTTCCAAAAAAAGTTGAATTTTCGAAAAATCGCATGCGCCTTTAAGGTAAAAATCGATTTTTTTCAAACCTAGCCATGATTATACTCATTCGAACCGATTTGACGCGCTGATTCTAACTGTATGATTTTCATTGAGTTTGGAGCAAAAATGACCGAGATACGGTAGATTTTATGGAATTGCTCAGACTAAAATTTTTCGAAAATTTTTCCAAACCCAGTCATGATTATACTCATTCAAACCGGCTTAACACGCTGATTCTAACTGTCTAATTCTTATTGAGATTGGAGCAAAATTGACCGAGACACGGTAGATTTTGTGAAATTGCTCAGAATAAAAAAATTTTCCAAACCTAGTCATGATTATACTCATTCGAACGGGTTAAACGCGCTGATTTCAAATATCCTACTCAAAATTTTTGAAAACCCACCTCATCAGCGGCCTCCTTGATCAAATTGTCCATTTTGGCCATCCAATCCTTCTGCTCCTCCTCCTCGTCCTCATAAAAATCCGCCCAACCCTCTGGAACATTGTATTCACACAACAGATTCTTAACACCGACTTTCGCCATTTCCTCTTTCACAAAATCCAAATGTTCCGCTGTTAGAATTGGCTTCTCGTCGGCGAATTCCGGATGGATTCGTGCAACGAATTTCTTTCCTTCAGCATTAGGCGACATGTTTTTTCTGGAAAAAATGGAAGGGTTTGGGCCTAAAAATAAGGGGTTTGGGCCTAAATTTGAGGGTTTTTGGTCTAAAAATTAAGGGTTTTCGGGCCTAAAATAGAGGGTTTTTTGGCCTAAATTACAGGGTTTTGGGCCGAAAACCAAGGATTTCTGAGTCTAAAAATAAGGATTTTAGGCCTAAAATTAGGGCTTTTTGGGCCTAAAATTCGGGCTTTTGGACCTGAAATTAAGGGTTTTAGGGCCTAAAATTAGGGGTTTTTGGGCCTAAAATTGAGGGTTTTTAGGCCTAAAATTGAGGGCTTTCGGGGCTAAAATTGAGGGTTCTTGGGCCTGAAATTAAGGGTTTTTGGGTCTGAAAATTAGGGTTTTTGAGTCTAAAATTCAGGGTTCTTGGGCCTAAAATTGAGGGTTTTCGGGCCTAAAAATAAGGGTTTTTGGGCCTAAATTTGGATTTTTTGAACTAAAATCAGACTTTTCGGCCTACTTTCGAAATTTCAACCCTAATTTCAAAATTTTCAAACCAAAATATCGATTTTTGGTGGAAATTTTGAATTTTCGCGCTTAAAAATTAATTTGCGGGCTGAAATCTTGATTTCTGGTGCTACACTCTAATTTCTGGCCGAAAAATGGAATTTTTGGTAAAATTCTCATTTTTCGGAAGAAAATTTGAATTCTAGCGTCAAATTATTGATTTACAAGGCGAAAAATGAATTTTTAGACCCGAAAATCGATATTTCATACAAAAAATGAGTAAATTTACCTTAAATTCCAATGAAAACGAAGAGAAACTGACGAGAAATATGAGAAAATGAATTGATTTTCCCTTCCGCCACGTCACGTTTTTTTTTGCCACGTGGAATTTGAGAAATTTCTCGAAGGTCGATTTTCCACGTGGCAACGTGGAAAAGGGGGGGGGGGGGCGAGAGGGAAAGAGACGCAGAGAAAAGAGGGCGCCCCAACTTTAAAGGCGCATATCTCAAAAAGGGGCGGAGCTAGAAAAAAGTTGTCAACTGCAAACTTGCTCAGAATTAAATTTTGAACAAGTTTGTAGTTATCAACTTTTTTCTAGCTCCACTCCCTGCTCTTTTATTAGAGGTTTAATCCAGTTTTTGCAGAGAATCGAGAGTTTTTTCAAGTTTCCACCCTAGAAGTTGGGCTTTTTGATGAAATAATTTAATCCGTGTTTTTGAGGTTTGGTAAAAAAAATTTTTCGGTTTTTCCGGTCATTTTCCGAAAAATTCCAATTTTTTTGTCCAATTTTTGTCGTTCATTCAAAAAAAATCACTAGTTCAATAAAAAATTTATTCTGAGCAATTTTACAATAGCAATCAAAAGAATATGCTCCCCACCATCATCCATTTTTGTTCGCCTACCACTGGCGGCTTAACCATCGGCTTGTTCTTATCCGGATCCGGGAATCTTTGGTGCCATACGAAGAATTTGAATTGCCGGGGCTTGATGATGACAGTTGCTAACATTCCATCACTCTTTCTCTCAATATCCATTCCGTTTGTACTGTCAGCCGGGTCGTCTCTTTCCAAAACTCTCCATCTGCAATAAATCTATGATTCAGTGTTTGCGGAGCAATTTTACGGGCTTCCACCGCTCTCTGCACATTTGGGAAGAGTCTAGAAAAAAATAAAAAAATATTTGACCCCACTGGGGTTCGAACCCGGGACTCAAAATTAGAAATCAAGCACGTTCACCACTAGGCCACGCGCTGCACACTTGCAGTGGCGGCGGAGGGCATAGACAAGAGAGGGAGGGCGCCAGGCGCCTCCCCTTGGCCGCCTGCCACCTTAGCAAAAGTGGCGCGAGTGGCCTAGTGGTGAAGAGGCTCGTCTTTAAAATTTTGGGTCCCGGGTTCGAACCCCACCGAGGTCAAATCTTTTTTGCTTTTTTTCTAGAGCTGCTAGAAAGATTTAAAATGGTCGGGAAAGCCTAGAAAACCTTAGAAATGTCTCACCCATCCGGATACAAGAACCTGCCAGCTCGTCTTTTTGGATCCCATTGTTTCGAATCGAAGTGGGCAAGTACTGAGTCCTTATCAAAAAGAATCCATGTGGATATGCATTTCTCGACAATCATTGCTTCTAATTTTCGATTATCCGAATTCAACCAATTATCGATGAATTTCACCAAATCCTGGTTAAAAATGCGATGAGCCATTTCAAAAACGGCGGTAGACCCGCGAAAGGCGCACAGGTGGTCTACAGTAATCCTAATAGAAAATCCAATCCATAAATGCTTGACAGACCAAACTCTAAGATTAGTATTCAATACCAAATCATCATTCGCTAGACTTAAACCATTCCGAATATTGATTTTTTCAAAAAAGTTTCCCGCATTTTCGGCAGGCTCTGACGCCCATTCGAGCAAATTATCCACTTCCAGAGTGTCAGGAAAATCGGATAAATGGGAGAATCGGAAAAGTATTTGAACTTCTGTAAACAGATGAAAAATTTTACAAATATACGAGTGAAGAGCCATTGGGAGCAACGTTCTGTGCTTGGATTCACACCAGAGAATCGGGATTTGGAGATCCGGGTGAGTCGAAATTCTGAAAAAAAGTAAAATGATTTTTCAAAAAATTTTTCGAAAAATTGCATGCGCCTTTAAGGTAAATTTGCGAATATTTTGAAAATTACCGTAACCTAGTTATGATTATACTCATTCGAACCGTCTTGTTTTGCTGATTCCGAATACATAACTTTCATGGGTCTCGCAGCGAAACTAACCGAGATACGGTAGTTTTCGTGGAATTTTGATTTTCGAAAATATTCGAAAATCTCTAAATTTTTTAGTTTTCAAGCTTTTCAGGTGGTTTTTTGACCAAAAAATAGCACGTTTCAGTGGGTATTTAGCAAAAATTGTTTTGTGGAAATCAGACCTAAATGAATTAAACAGAAAATAATCACCTGCACCGAATGATGTTTCCTCTATACCACAATCGAATTTGCCCACTCCAAAACGGTATTTCATGCCGTAAATGCATATTTTTTCTGTCGTTTTTTGCCGAGTACATGACCACATTTTGCCCATGACATGCGAATTTTTGGACCTGTAAAGTGGAATCAATCGTGTGAATGACGGCGTTGTCATATTTCACGACTCCACTGTTTCGGAGCATTTTTCTCGTTTTTTTGGAGCAAAGTCCCAGAAAAAAGTATTCGTAGAGCTCCAAATTCCTGATGATTTCAACTTGAATTAGGTAAGGAAATTTCAGGAGGAGCATCTGAAAATGTGCATTTTTTTGCATTGAATTTGTTGAAAATCATGAAAATCAAGGGAAAAACCAGAAAAAAAAACGAGGAAAAAATCAATACGCAGGGAGAATACAAAGAATGGTCTAATACCTATGACCTGCCTCTCATCCTCTCACTCTAATCTGTCATTTCTGTCACCTTTTATTACAATGCCTTTAGGGATTAGGAGTTGGGTCTTGCCACGAAAACGAAAAACTACCGTATCTCGTTCAATTTTGACCCAATCGAATTGAAATTGTTGTTTTTGGAATCAGCATGTCGAGCCGGTTCGATTGAGTGTAAACATGACAGGGTTTGAAATTTTTCGAAACATTTTATTCTGAGCAATTCGCAAAAACTACCGTATCTCGGTCAATTTTGAACCAATCATCAGGAATTGAATTTCATTGATCTCAGCAACCCACAATTAAATCACATGCAATGTATTTATTATTCAAAAAAACAGAACTTTATCAATCAAAAGAATGTGCTCCCCACCATCATCCATTTTTGTTCGCCTACCACTGGCGGCTTAACCATTGGCTTGTTCTTGTCCGGATCCGGAAATCTTTGGTGCCATACGAAAAATTTGAATTGCCGGGGCTTGATGATGACAGTTGCTAACATTCCATCACTCTTTCTCTCAATATCCATTCCGTTTGTACTGTCAGCCGGGTCGTCTCTTTCCAAAACTCTCCATCTGCAATAATTCAATTATTCAATGTAGTCAGAGCATTTTATTTTAGCTGCCACCGCTCTCTGCATACTTGGAAAGGGTCTAGAAAAAATACAAAAGCTTTGACCTCACTGGGGTACGAACCCGGGACCCAAAATTGGCAAGCAAGCGCGTTCACCACTAGGCCACGCGCTGCACACTTGCCGTGGCGGCGGAGGGCATAGACAAGAGAGGGAGGGCGCCAGGCGCCTCCCCTTGGCCGTCTGCCACCTCAGCAAAAGTGGTGCGGGTGGCCTAGTGGTGAAAAGGCACGTCTTTGAAGTCTTGGGTCCCAGGTTCGAACCCCACCGGAGTCAAACCTTTTTTGCTTTTTTTTCTAGAGCTGCTAGAAAGATTTAAAATGACCGGGTATGCCTGCACAAGCCTTAAAAATGTCTCACCCATCGGGATACAAGAACCTGCCAGCTCGTCTTTTTGGATCCCATTGTTTCGAATCGAAGTGTGCAAGTACTGAGTCCTTATCGAAAAGACGCGTGTCGGCTACGGATTTCTCGATCATCATTGCTTCTAATTTTCGATTATCCGAATTCAACCAATTATCGATGAATTTGACTAAATCCTGGTTGAAAATGCTACTAGCCCATTCAAAAACGGCGGTAGACCCGCGAAAAGCGGACAGATGGTCTACAGTAATCCTAGTAGAATATCCAATCCATAAATGCTTGACAGACCAATTTTTATGGCCAGTGTTCAATAGAGCATCGTCCTCGGACAGACCTAATCCATTCCGAATATTGATTTTTTCGAAAAAAATTTCCGATTTTTTTCCACATTCGTGCAAATTATCCACTTCCAGAGTGTCGGGGAAATCGGATAAATGGGAGAATCGGGAGGAACATATTTGTATATCTGTAAACAGATGAAATACTTCACAAATATAATAATGAAGAGCCATTGGGAGCAGCGTTTTGTGCTTGGATTTACACCAGAGAATCGGGATTTGGAGATCCGGGTGAGTCGAAATTCTGGAAAAAAGTAAAATGGATAAGAACATTGTAATCAGCTCGTTGAGACGGTTTGAATGAGTATAATCATGCCTGGGTTCCGAAAAATTTCAATTTGTGCCTTAAAGGCGCATGGTCTGTAAATCTACCGTATCTCGGTCGTTTTCGCTTCGAGAGCCGTGAAACTAAGATTTTTAGAATTAGCGCGTTAAGGCGGTTCGAAGGAGTATAGTCATGACTGGGTTTGGAAAATTTTCGATTTTTACCTTAAAGGCGCATGAATCTGGGAACTACCGTATCTCGTTGAATTTATGTCTAATCTCTTCGCAAAAAATATATTTGGTATCAGCAAGTCAAGCCGGTTCAATTGAGTATAATAATGACCAGATTTGAGACACTTTCAATTTTTCGAAAAATTGCATGCGCCTTTAAGGTTTTTTTGCAAAAATTTTCAAATCTACAGTAACCTGGTCATGATTATACTCATTCGAACCGTCTTGTTTTGCTGATTCCGAATATACATTTTTCATGGGTCGCAGAGCGAAACCGACCGAGGTACGGTCGAATTTGTGAAATTTTGATTTTCGAAAATATTCGAAAATCTGTAACTTTTTTAGTTTTGAAGCTTATCGGATGGTTTTTGGACCAAAAATAGCACGTTTTAGTCGTTATTCGGCGGAAATTGTTTTGTGAACATCAAATTGAAAAGAAAAAAAAGTCACCTGCACCGAATGACGGTATCCCTATACCACAACCGAATTTGCCCACTCCAAAACGGTATTTCATGCCGTAAATGCATATTTTTTCTGTCGTTTTTTGCCGAGTACATGACCACATTTTGTCCGTGACATGCGAATTTTTGGACCTGTAAAGTGGAATAAATCGTGTGAATGACGGCGTTGTCATATTTCACGACTCCACTGTTTCGGAGCATTATTCTCGTTTTTTTCGAGCAAAGTCCCAGAAAAAAGTATTCGTAGAGTTCCAAATTCCTGATGATTTCAACTTGAATTAGGTAGGGAAATTTCAGGAGGAGCATCTGAACATGTTCATTTTTTTGCATTGAAATCGTTGAAAATCATAAAAATCAAGGGAAAAAACAGAAAAAAAAAACGAGGAACAAATCAATACGCAGGGAGAATACAAAGAATGGTATAATACCTATGACCTGCCTCCCTCTCTCATCCGTCACTTCTGTCACCTTTTATTACAATGCCTCTAGGGATTAGCAGTTTGGTCTTGCCACGAAAACAACAAACTACCGTATCTCGTTCAATTTTGGCCCTATCGAATTGAAATTGTTGTTTTTGGAATCAGCATGTCGAGCCGGTTCGATTGAGTGTAAACATGACAGGGTTTGAAATTTTTCGAAAAATTTTATTCTGAGCAATTCGCAAAAACTACCGTATCTCGGTCAATTTTGAACCAATCATCAGGAATTGAATTTCATTGATCTCAGCAACCCACAATTGAATCACATGCAATGTATTTATTATTCAAAAAAACAGAACTTTATCAATCAAAAGAATGTGCTCCCCACCATCATCCATTTTTGTTCGCCTACCACTGGCGGCTTAACCATCGGCTTGTTCTTATCCGGATCCGGGAATCTTTGGTGCCATACGAAGAATTTGAATTGCCGGGGCTTGATGATGACAGTTGCTAACATTCCATCACTCTTTCTCTCAATATCCATTCCGTTTGTACTGTCAGCCGGGTCGTCTCTTTCCAAAACTCTCCATCTGCAATAAATCCATTATTCAGTGTTTTCGGAGCAATTTTTCGGGCTTCCACCGCTCTCTGCACACTTGGAAAGGGTCTAGAAAAAAAGAAAAAAAGATTCGACCCTCTGGGCTTCGAACCCGGGACCCAAAATTTGGAAGTCAAGCGCGTTCACCACTTGGCCACGCGCTGCACACTTGCAGTGGCGGCGGAGGGCATAGACAAGAGAGGGAGGGCGCCAGGCGCCTCCCCTTGGCCGCCTGCCACCTTAGCAAAAGTGGCGCGAGTGGCCTAGTGGTGAAGAGGCTCGTCTTTAAAATTTTGGGTCCCGGGTTCGAACCCCACCGAGGTCAAACATTTTTTGCTTTTTTCTAGAGCGGCAAGGACGATTTAGAATGGCCGGGTATGCCTGCACAAGCTTAAAAAAAATCTCACCCATCCGGATACAAGAACCTGCCAGCTCGTCTTTTTGGATCCCATGGTTTCGAATCAAAGTGTGCAAGTACTGAGTCCTTATCGAAAAGAATCGATGTGGATATGCATTTCTCGACAATCATTGCTTCTAATTTTCGATTATCCGAGTTCAACCAATTATCGATGAATTTCACCAAATCCTGGTTAAAAATGCGATGAGCCATTTTAAAAACGGCGGTAGACCCGCGAAAGGCGCACAGGTGGTCTACAGTAATCCTAATAGAAAATCCAATCCATAAATGCTTGACTGACCAAACTCTAAGATTTGTATTCAATACCAAATCATCATTCGCTAGATTTAAACCAGTCCGAATATTGATTTTTTCAGAAAAATTTTCCGCATTTTCGGCAGTCTCCGACGCCCATTCGAGCAAATTATCCACTTCCAGAGTGTCGGGAAAATCGGATAAATGGGAGAATCGGAAAAGTATTTGAACTTCTGTAAACAGATGAAATACTTCACAAATATAATAGTGAAGAGCCATTGGGAGCAACGTTCTGTGCTTGGATTCACACCAGAGAACCGGGATTTGGAGATCCGGATGAGTCGAGATTCTGGAAAAAAGTGAAATGATTGAGAGAACCAATTTTTTTCCTAGGTAACCCGCAAAATTTCTAGTTTTTTGGTCCAAAAACCATTAAAAAATATTGAAAACTCACAAAGTTACAGATTTTCGAATATTTTCGAAAATCAAAAATTTGTAAAATCTACCGTATCTCGACAAATTTCGATGCGAGACGCATGAAAAATACATATTTGGAATCAGCAAGTCAAGACGGTTCAAATGAGTATAATAATGTCCAGGTTTGAGACATTTTCAATTTTTCGAAAAATTGCATGCGCCTTTAAGGTTTTTTTGCAAAAATTTTCAAATCTACAGTAACCTGGTCATGATTATACTCATTCGAACCGTCTTGTTTTGCTGATTCTGAATATACATTTTTCATGGGTCGCAGAGCGAAACCGACCGAGGTACGGTCGAATTTGTGAAATTTTGATTTTCGAAAATATTCGAAAATCTGTAACTTTGTTAGATTTCAAGCTTTTCAGGTGGTTTTTGGACCAAAATTTGGCAAATGTGAGTGGTTTTTCGGCAAAATTGTTTTGTGAACATCAAATTAAAGAAAAAAAAATTACCTGCATAGAATGATGTTGCCCCTATACCACAATCGAATCTGCCCACTCCAAAACGGTATTTCATGCCGTAAATGCATATTTTTTCTGTCGTTTTTTGCCGAGTACATGACCACATTTTGCCCGGGACATGCGAATTTTTGGACTTGTAAGGTGGAATAAATCGTGTGAATGACGGCGTTGTCATATTTCACAACTCCACTATTTCGGAGCATTATTCGCGTTTTTTTCGAGCAAAGTCCCAGAAAAAAGTATTCGTAGAGCTCCAAATTCCTGATGATTTCAACTTGGATTAGGTAGGGAAATTTCAGGAGGAGCATCTGGAAATGTGCATTTTTTTGCATTGAAATCGTTGAAAATCATGAAAATCAAGGGGAAAACCAGAAAAAAAAAACGAGGAAAAAATCGATACGCAGGGAGAATACAAAGAATGGTCTAATACCTATGACCTGCCTTCCCCCACTCTCATCAATCACTTCTGTCACCTTTTATTACAATGCCTCCAGGGATTAGGAGTTGGGTCTTGCCACGAAAACAACAAACTACCGTATCTCGTTCAATTTTGACCCTATCGAATTGAAATTGTTGTTTTTGGAATCAGCATGTCGAGCCGGCTCGATTGAGTATAAACATGACTAGGTTTGAAATGTTTCAAAAAATTTTATTCTGAGCAATTTGCAAAAACTACCATATCTCGGTCAGTTTTTCTCCAATTGCAATGAAATAAATATTTTCGGAATCAGCTCGTCAAGCCGGTTAGATTGAGTATAAACATGACTAGGTTTCAAAAAATTATATTCTTACCTTAAAGGCGCATGGACCTTAAAACTACTGTGTCTCGGTCAATTTTGGTGAAATCACCAGGAAAATAAAATGATTAGAATCAGCTTGACAAGACGGTTCAGAAAAGTATAAACAAGACCTAACTTCAAAAATTTTGAATTTTCGAAAAATCGCATGCACCTTTAAGGTAAAAATCGAAAATTCTCCGAACCTAGTCATGTTTATACTCAATCGAACCGGCTCAAACTGCTTATTCCAAAAACAACAATTTCAATTTGATAAGATCAAAATTGACCGAGATACGGTAGTTCGTGGAAAGACCCCACTCCTAATCCCTAGAGGCATTGTAATAAAAGGTGACAGAAGTGACAGATGAGAGTGAGAGGATGAGAGGCAGGTCATAGGTATTCGACCATTCTTTGTTCTCTCCCTGCGTATCGATTTTTTCCTCGTTTTTTTTCTGGTTTTTTCCTTGATTTTCATGATTTTCAACGATTTCAATGCAAAAAAATGCACATTTCCAGATGCTCCTTCTGAACTTTCCCTACCTAATTCAAGTTGAAATCATCAGGAATTTGGAGCTCTACGAATACTTTTTTCTGGGACTTTGCTCGAAAAAAACGCGAATAATGCTCCGAAATAGTGGAGTTGTGAAATATGACAATGCCGTCATTCACACGATTGATTCCACTTTACAGGTCCAAAAATTCGCATGTCCCGGGCAAAATGTGGTCATGTACTCGGCAAAAAATGATAGAAAAAATATGCATTTACGGCATGAAATACCGTTTTGGAGTGGGCAGATTCGATTGTGGTATAGGGAAACCGTCATTCGGTGCAGGTAATTTTTTTTCTTTTCAATTTGATGTTCATAAAACAATTTTTGCCAAATACCCACTAAAACGTGCTATTTTTTGGTCCAAAAACCACCTGAAAAGCTTGAAAACTAACAAAGTTACAGATTTTCGAATATTTTCGAAAATCAAAATTCCACGAAAACTACCGTATCTCGGTTAGTTTCGCTCCGAGACTCATGAAAGTCATATATTTGGAATCAGCAAAACAAGGCGGTTCGAATGAGTATAATCATGACTAGGTTACTGTTAATTTCAAAATTTTTGCAAAAATACCTTAAAGGCGCGTGTAATTTTTTTGGAAAATTGGAAATGTCTCAAACCCAGTCATGACTATACTTCTTCGAACCGCCTTAACGCGCTAACTCTAAAAATCTTAGTTTCACGGGTCTCGAAGCGAAAATGACCGAGATACGGTAGATTTACAGACCATGCGCCTTTAAGGCACACATTTAAATTTTTCGGAACCCAGGCATGATTATACTCATTCAAACCGTCTCAATCAGCTGATTACTATTTTCTTATCCATTTCATTTTTTTTCCAGAATCTCGACTCACCCGGATCTCCAATTTCCGATTCTCTGGTGTAGATCCAAGCTCAGAACGTTGCTCCCAATGGCTCTTCATTATTATATTTGTGAAGTATTTCATCTGTTTACAGATATACAAATATGTTCCTCCCGATTCTCCCATTTATCCGATTTTCCCGACACTCTGGAAGTGGATAATTTGCACGAATGTGGAAAGAAATCGGAAATTTTTTTCGAAAAAATCAATATTCGGAATGGGTTAAGTTTGTCCGAGGACGATGTTCTATTGAGCACTGACCATAAAAATTGGTCTGTCAAGCATTTGAAGATTGGATATTCTACTAGGATTACTGTAGAACACCTGTTCGCTTTTCGCGGGTCTACCGCCGTTTTTGAATGGGCTGATCGTATTTCAAACCAGGATTTGGTAAAATTCATCTATTTTTGGTTGAATTCGGATAATAGAAAATTAGAAGCAATGATGATCGAGAAATCCGTAGCCGACACGCGTCTTTTTGATAAGGACTCAGTACTTGCACACTTCGGTTCGAAACCATGGATTCCAAAAAGACGAGCTGGCAGGTTCTTGTATCCCGATGGGTGAGACATTTTTAAGGCTTTCTAGGCATTCCCGGCCATTTAAAATATCCCAAGCCGCTCTAGAAAAAAAGCAAAAAAGATTTGACCTCGGTGGGGTTCGAACCCGGGACCCAAAATTTCAAAGACGAGCCTCTTCACCACTAGGCCACTCGCGCCACTTTTGCTAAGCTGACAGGCGGCGAAGGGGAGGCGCCCGGCGCCCTCCCTCTCTTGTCTAGGCCTTCCGCCGCCAACGCTAGCGTGTAGCGCGTGGCCTAGTGGTGAACGTGCTTGATTTCAAATTTTGGGTCCCGGGTTCGAACCCCAGTGGGGTCCAATCTTTTTTTCTTTTTTTCTAGGTATGTCTTATGGGTTCCAGGGTTAGAATAGATGCTCAGAAGTGGGCAGAAAACGCTTGCAGCTGAAAAAACTGGCTAATTGCAGATGGAGAGTTATAGATGTAGATGACCCGGCTGACAGTACAAACGGAATGGATATTGAGAGAAAGAGTGATGGAATGTTAGCAACTGTCGTCATCACGCCCAGGCTATTCAAATTCTTCGTATGGCACCAAAGATTCCCGGATCCAGACAAGAACAAGCCAATGGTTAAGCCGCCAGTGGTGGGCGAACAGAAATGGATGATGGTGGGGAGCATATTCTTTTGATTGCTTTTGTGAAATTGCTCAGAATAAAATTTTTATTGAATTAGTGATTTTTCCGAATGAATGAAAAAAATTGGACATACGGACATACAGACAGAACAAAACGTTAACTCCCACGGAAAATTGGATTTCGAAATTTTAATTCTCGTGGAGTCCACGTGGAGTCCACGTGGAGTATGGGGAAGATATCGATTTTTCTAAAGTTGTTCTTGAATCTTCGAGAAGTGAAAAACGGTGAGTTCCTATTCTGAGCAATTTGGCTAAAAAACATCAGTGTCTCTTAGGTTTTCGCAGAAGTCCCCCTAATAGAAGGGCATATGGAAACGATATATCTCAAAAAGGGGCGGAGCTAGAAAAAAGTTGTCAATTGCAAACTTGTTTGAAATTGAATTTGGAGCAACTTTGCACCTGACAACTTTTTTATAGCTCCGCCCCTTTTTGAGTTATGTGGCTTTAAAGTTGTGTAGAGATCCAGGATGCTAGAGGGGACTTAAAAACGCTGCAAATTTTGACTTCTAGCGGTTTTTTCTTCGATATTTGTAACCAGCACGTCAAGACAATTCAAATGAGTATAATCATGACAGGGTTCCGATGAATTTTCAAATTTTGAAAAATTGCATGCGCCTTTGAAGTATTTTTGCAAAAAATTTCAAATTTACAGTAACCTAGTCATGATTATACTCATTCGAACCGGCTTGACTTGCTGATTCCAAATATATTTTTCATGAGTCTCGCAGCGAAATTTGTAGAGATACGGTAGATTTTTCAAATTTTTGATTTTCGAAACTTTTCGAAAATCTGTAACATCGTTAGTTTTCAATATTTTTGATGGTATTTGGACCAAAAGTCTAAAAATTTAACGGGTTACCTAGGAAAAAAAAATTGATGCCGCTCTGAAAAAAATCGGCCGGGTTACTGTAGTTTATCTGATTCCAGCTCCCGATTTTGGTGATGCAGTTGTACGATGAAAAAGGAAACAAGATTGTGGTGCCATCGGGGCACTATGTAGTGATAGAAAAAGGAGTTATCAGTTTCAAAAAAAACATGTCTCATAAGGAATTCAAGAAATGGGAGAAGGGAATGGAGAAGGACAGGATGACGCCGGAGCAGAGACTTACACAATTGTTGAACGGTGATTATAATTTTGAGAATGTGAGTCGAAAATTTGGAATCCCGCCTGAATTTGAATCGTCCTAGACCAAAACTCCTCGAAAAAAAAAATTTTTTTTTTCAAAAAATTTTATTCTGAGCAATTTCACAAAATCAATATATCGTATCTCGGTTAGTTTTGGTCCAATCTCAATGAAAAATATACATTTCGAATCAGCGCATCAAGCCGGTTCGAATGAGTATAATCATGCCGAGGTTTGGAAAATTTCCGATTTTTACCTTAAAGGAGCATGCGATTTTTTTGAAAACTCGAATTTTTCGAAATAGGGGTTTTTTATTTTTATTTTTTTTTCTTATTCGAACCAGTTTGACGCTCTGATTTCAAAATTTAAAGCTATGGACATCCGGACATCCGGACAGACATACAGGTGGACAGACAGACATCTGGATATCCGGATAGATAGACAGACCAGATACCTGGAAATCTAAATAGACAAATAAACAAAGTGAAAGATATAGAAATCCGGACATCCATACATCTGGATATTCGGACATCCAGAAATACAGACAGACAACTTTTCACATTTTTCCAGCCCGGAAGCACCGGTGAGAAGGGGCAGATCAAGGACGAAAATGAGGGAATGGTGAGTTTTTCAGCCATTTTAAGCCAGTTTAGGCTGTTTTAGGCCTTTTCACCACCGATTTTCCCCCATTTTTCAAACCCAATCTCAGCGCAAACGAGCCAAAAGAGCCAAGCAGAAGGCTGCCAGAAAAGCCCGGAAAGCTGCAGCTGAAGCCGAGGGATCGGGGTCGGAAAAATCCGAAAATTGAGCCCTTCCAAGCTCCCCAACCAAGCCAAGAAACATGCTGTACTTCTATGATAACCAATGTGAATGAAATGAATGAATTTTGAGTATTGGACATCTGGAAATACATACAGACAGACGTACACTTTTAAGATTTTTTTTGAAAAAGTTTTCACGCGATGAACCGGCCTTAGAAACTAGATTTCGAAAGTTTAGTCCACGTGGAGTCCACGTGGAGAAATCGAGGATGGGAAATATCGATTTTCTCACAGTTATTATTGAAATTTCGAAAGGAGAAGAATGGTGAGTGGTTTTTCTCGTTCTGTGCACCATTTTTGTGGCGGTTTGAAGCGTTTTAGGGTCTGAAGACTTTCTGGGAACTTCTAATAGCTTTGGACACACTTCAGGAAAAAAGCAAAAAAGATTTGACCCCACGGGGGGTCGAACCCGGGACCAAAATTTGATAGTCAAGCGCGTTCACCACTAGGCCACGCGTGCAACGCTACGGAGGGTGGCGGAGAGGGGGTTGAAGGGCGTCGGGCACCTCCCCCATCCCGCCTGCCATCTTGGCAAAAGTGGCGCGGGTGCCCAAGTGGTGAACACGCTTGTCTATCAAACTTTAGACCCGGGTTCGAACCCCACTGCTGTCAAATCTTTTTTGCATTTTTTCTAGGGTAGTTTTAGTCTGTTTAGAGGGGGTTTCAGCTTTTTTAGGTCACTTTTGAGCCATTTTCAGACGAAAAACAAGTCGCCCTTGCATGGGACCACTGAAATTGTGGTGCTCACAAAAAACCAGGAAACCGGAGAATATGAGCAGAAACAGGAAACGGTTCGCGTCGACCACTCGCAGGTCACCAATGAGTTTTTGAAGAAGTTGTTGGTAAGTTGGGGGACGTCCGGACTGACAGATGGACATCCAGACATCCGAACATCTGGATAGACAGCCAGACAAGTATCCGGGTATCCAGCTGTTTGAACATCTAAATAGAGAGACAGTTAGGGGAGAGGCGCAGAGAATAGAGGGCACCCTAATTTCGAAGGCGCATATCTCAAAAAGGGGCGGAGCTGGAAAAATGTTGTCAACTGCAAACTTATTTCAAATTTAATTTTGAACATGTTTGCAGTTGACAACATCTTTCTAGCTCCGTCCTTTTTTGAGTTATGCGCCTTTAAAGTTAAGGTGCCTTCGAGGCAGGAAGAGCGCCCCAACTTTAAAGGCGCATATCTCAAAAAAGGGCGGAGCTAGAAAAAAGTGGTCAACTACAAACTTGCTCAAAATTTAATTTCAAACATGTTTGTAGTTGACTACTTTTCGATAGCTTCTCTCCCTGCCCTTCTAATACAGGTTTAATCCGAACTTGCAGGACCCTGAGGGTAAATTGGAGGAAATGAAGGAACCGCCGGAGGATTTGTGGGATTCTGAAGATTCTGAAGATTCTGATGAATCCGAAGACGATTCCGATGAAGAATCCGAAGAGAAAGGCATCCAGATGATTGGTTTTTTGACCCATCAAAACACCGGCGAGAAGATCCAAGTGCCACCGGGATACTATACCGTCCAAACTCTGGATAAGGATGGGAAATTCAAAGTGGAGTTCAAAAAACGACCGACTTCTGAGGAGATGGGCGAGATGCAGGAGCAATTGAGCAAGTTTTTGCAGGTTAGTATTTTTTTCCTAAATTTCCCTAAATTTACCTGATTTTCGTTTTTTAGGCCCAACATGAGAAGAGGGCTAAAAAGGAGAAGCCCAGATGCCACAAAGTCGAAATCGATTGAGCCCCCAACCAAGCCAAAAAACACGCGGTACTTCTGTGATAAAATGTTAATGGAATGAATAAATTTTGAGTATTGGGCATCTGGAAATACATACAGACAGACATATACTTTTCAAATTCCAAAAAAAAAATTTCCGCGCGATTAACTGGCCCCAGAAACTAGATTTTGAAAGTTTAGTCCACGTGGAGTCCACGTGAACTCGAGAATGGAAAATATCGATTTTCTCTTAGTTATTATTGAAATTTCGAAAGGAGAAGAATGGTGAGTGGTTTTTCTTATTCTGAGCATCTTTTTCTGGAGCGATTCGAGGCGGTTTGGGGTCTGAAGGCTTTCTGGGCGCTTCTAATAGCCCTGGACCACTTCAGGAAAAAAGCAAAAAAGATTTGACCCCAGTGGGGGTCGAACCCGGAACCAAAATTTGGTAGTCAAACGCGTTCACCACTAGGCCACGCGTACAACTTTTGTGTGGTGGCGAAGGAGGCAGACAACAGAGAGGGAGGGCGCCGGGCGCCTCCCTCTTGCCGCCTGCCACCTTGGCAAAAGTGGCGCGCGTGGCCTAGTGGTGAACACGCTTGTCTTCCAAATTTTGATTCCGGGTTCTATCCCCACCGAGGCGTAATCTTTTTTGCTTTTTTTCTGGGGTAGTTTTATTGCTTCTAGGGCCATTCTAAGTGCCTAGAAGTGCCTCGAAAGCCTAAGGAGAAGCTAAAAGTGCCATTTTTAGCCTAAACTAGGGTAAAATCTTTTTAGCCATTTTTTTCAAGCAATTTTCAGCCCAAAAACAACGCGCCACCGCTGCAAGGCATTAGCGCCAAGGACATTCCACACGGGTACCAGTTGGTGCTCACGATGAACGAGAAAACCGGTCAATGTGAGCAGAAATATGAGAAGGTTGGCGGCATCGACGAGTCGCTTCTGACCAAGGAGTTTTTTGAGAAGTTGTTGGTAAGTTGGGGGGACATCCGGACATCCGGACATCCAGAATTTTTCCAGATCAAAAGTGCTGTCGAGGAGGGCCTGATCAAGGACGAGTATGAAGGAATGGTGAGTTTTGGGCCGTTTTAGCCCATTTTAGGCAAATTTTCCCCATTTTCAGACCCAATCGCAGCGCAAACGAGCCAAAAGGGCCAAGCAGAAGGCGGCCAGAAAAGCCCGGAAAGCTGCAGCTGAAGCCGAGGGATCCGGGTCGGAAAAATCCGGAAATTGAGCCCCCCCCCCCTCCCCCCTCAACAGAGCACACAAAGTAACAAAAGACTTTTTGATCTTTATCTTAAATAAATGATTTATTGGACATCCAGACATACAGATATACGAACAGACTTTAAAAAAATAAATTTGATAACCATTACTTAACGTGGAGAAAGAAACTAGATTCCTAATTTTCTGTCTCTAATTCTCAATAAATTTTTTGACGTGAAATCGCTCTAGTTTAGTCCACGTGGAGTACACAGAGGGGGAAAATATCGATTGATTTGGAGTTATTCTTGAATCTTCGAGAACTTGGAAACGGTGAGTCTTTTTGTCCTGAGCAATCGGGCCCCTCAACACTTCTAACAGCCCTAGGCCCCATGAGAATGTCATAGGGAAAATGCAAAAAAAAATTCGACCCCGAGGGGGATCGAACCCGGGGGCGAAATTTCGAAAGGCGAGCCGCTTCACCACTAGGCCACCCGCTCCAGTTTTGATGTGGCGGCAGGAGGCGAGGGGAAAGCGCCCGGCGCCCTTCCTCTCGGCTGTCTACCCCCTCCGCCACCTCCGCCACACTTCCGCGCGCGTGGCCTAGTGGCGAACGCGCTTGACTATAAAATTTTGGTCCCGGGTTCGATCCCCACTGGGGTGAAATCTTTTTTGCTTTTTTTCTAATGTGGTTTCATGGGTTCCAGGACCATCGGAAGTACCTAGAAATGCCTGAAACAGCCTACATATACCATTTTCACTCTAAATCTACCAATTTCAGCCATGGAAGAAAAAGGCCTCAAGATGATTGGTTTTTCGACCCATCAAAAGACCGGCGAGAAGATCCAAGTGCCACCGGGATACTATACCGTCCAAACCCTGGATAAGGATGGGAATATCAAAGTGGAGTTCGAAAAAGTGCCGACTAACGAGGAGATGGACGATGAGATGGAGAAATTTAATGAATTTTGGAAGGTTAGTGTTTTTTTTCTCTACATTTACCTAAAATCCTTATTTTCCAGGCCCAACGTGAGAAAATTGCTAAAGGGGAGAAGCCCACATACTACAAAGACGACACCGATTGAGCCTGGGGGTGCCCCCTGTTCGGCAGTCTGCACATTTCATTTCATCTCGCTGGATTTTATTTTTTTTGTATGGAAAAATAAAATATTTTTATTGTAGTTTTTGGGAGGCCAAAAAAACTGAAAAACAAGGCACCCAAATCGGAAATTCGTGGATTGCTCAGAATAAAGTTTTTAGCGCAAATCGACCGTATCTCGGTCGATTTCTGTCCGAATTCAATGAAAATGCTATTTTTGAAACCAGCGCGTCAAGACGGTTCTAATGAGAATAATCATGACTAAGTTTGGAAAATTTTTCAATTTTTTAGTACGATGCTCCGAAATTCCGGGATAGGTCAAAATTGCTAAATATGCCATGATTATACTCATTCGAACCGGCTTAATTAGCTGATTCGAATGCACTACTTTTCATTCACCTGGGACCAAAACGGACCGAGATACGGTAGATTTTGTGAAATTGCTCAGAATAAAATTTTTTGAAAATTTTCCAAACCTAGTCAAGATTATACTCATTCGGACCGTCTTGACGAGCTGATTTCAAAATTACCATTTTTATGGGTCCCGAAACGAAAATAGCGGGGCTACGGTTGTAACGCCCAGTAAAAAAATTTTTTTTTCGAAAAACGTCAAATTTTTTCTCTTCAAGCGTGGCCTTTTTTTTGTTCCCCAATATCAAAACAACTATTTGTCATCATTCCACGTGGCATTTTTTTTGACAATCTTCATGGATTTTCGAATTTATTTTTCACCGAAATTTTCAAATTTTGCTCCAAAAAACTCCAAAATATGGATGTATCCTGGACAGATTTTCCGGTGGAATTCAAGAAAAGAGTCGTCGAAAAATTGGATTTTATGGGCAGGTAATAGACTGCAAACTACGAAAAAATTACAAAAAAAATTCCAAAAAAAAAAACAAAATTTTTTCCAGACACGCCCTAAAAAGTGTATCCCGTAGGGACCGGGAGCTGGTCAATTCCGTCATTTCGATTATTCCACGTGTCAGATTTGCTTACAAAGATGGCAAATGTCTGATTGTGATCTATACGGAAATCGAAAAATTTTTGAGATTGGAGCTCGCGGAGTGCAAGGAGGGCATTATTATTCATAGGTGGAGGACCGCTACAGTAAACCCGGGCTACAGTAATCCGGGAGATTTCTGAATATGATTTTTGAACTCAGCTCGTTAAGACAGTTTGAATGAGTATAACCATGACTAGGTTCTGAAAATTTTTGATTTTTACCTTAAAGGCGCATGACCCTTGAAACTACCGTATCTCAGTCAATTTTGGTCCAAACTCAATGAAAAAAATATATTTGAAATCAGCATGTCAAGACGGTTCGAATGAGTATAATCATGACGTATCTAGCACCATTTTGAAAAATTTTCGAATTTTGCTTTAAAGGCGCATGACAAAAATTGAAATTTCGAAATTTCACGGAACCTGGTCATGTTTATATTCAAT